ACCCTTAGCACACTCTTGGTTTCATTGAAATGGCTGTCACTTTTACAGCTGTCATCCGTCTTACATGATGTTAGGTGTGTTTGAAAGAGGATGACAGGCCTACTCTCACTGTTACCGGTAAAGTAAATTTTGTTACTTTTCTTTAACAGCCGAAATTGAATTTGGTTTTCTGGGCGAACTGGTTATAATGTTTGAGAAAAATTTGGCAGCACTGTTTTTTTCGTACATATCAAATTACATTTGCCAGTTGATAAAGTAAAGAGAAAAATACTCAAATCGAAATGGAAGACGGTGCACAAAAAAATTGAAAATTTTTTATTAATTTGTTTATTAAATCTTAAATATTTGAACCTAATTATGGAAAATATGCCTGGACAAAAAAAGAAAAGCTGAGCGAAAACGTTATCTTACAAATTAAAGGGCTATTTTTTAGTCTCGAAAACTTCTTGAAATACGGCTTTTTGCACTTTTTTCTTCATCTTCAATGAATTCCAGGCCTAAAATATGCCTACCCATTTTGGTTTTTGATTTTTTCTCAAACTTACAACACAAAATCAAACAACAGACATTTTTGTTACCTCCTATTTTGCTGGTAACAAAATTTACAGGGTAACAGTGAGCTCAGAATACGAAATGGTAACAAAATTTACTGAATGGTAAATTTTAATATCTAGGTAAATTTTGTTACCTGGACAGAATAGGCCTGTGAATGAATCTTTTTAATGTTGCAAATTTTCAATAGATGGCGCTGTATGTTGTATGATTTAAATATAAAGTTCGGTTATGTTTAGGACACACTGTATGTGCCTACGTAACGAGTAAAACCTCCTCAAGAACTCAACGAAGTCTTTACAATTTATTTCAACGAATTCATCCAAGTCAATTTATAAAGGCAACAAATATACTCCAAAACAAAAAGTATTGACCATGAAAAGTGAACGAAAAGAAACTCTTTAAAATTTTATTTTTAAAATAATTTTTCGAATGAATGTCACTAATCCAAATTGTCTTCAAAACCCAAAAAATTGTTAATTGGTTAATTGAAAGAAAATAAAGCATATCACACACACACGCACTCACAACCCTATACATACGTGTATGTATAGTTTTAAAAAATCGCAAAAAATAAAAGAAACAAGAAAATAAAGCGATAAGTGGGTGTTAAATGTAAGAAAATCCGCTTAGTGGACAATTTAACAGTAATGGGGGATAAACAGCAGTAAGACGAAAGGGCTAACCCTTCTCCTTACATACATACATACATACATTTATACTTATGTATGCTCATTCACATGGTGTGTTGGTTGATTAGACCGCTCATGCATTGGCATACGCGTCCATAAGATTAAATGCGATTAAAATCTGAGAGTAACGAGAATATTCAATGAATGAGTGTGAGGCTCACACTTGGTTACATACATACATATATGTACATATATAAATTTCTATTAATTGCTTTTGTTGGCACACATATGTTTTATGTATTGTTGCTACTTGAATGGCCTTTGTAGGTGTGACACATGACAAATTTGCGTTAATAAGTAGTGGAAGGGAAGTGAACAACCTGAAATAAGAAGAAGAAAAGGTCATTTGGAAAATTACAAGGAAAAGTGTTGTTATTTTTCTGACAAATTTCAAGTGTGATGTGCATAAATATATACATATATATCATGTGTATATTTAAAGAATTTATTTTCAAAAAAAAAGTCTTCTTCATTTACTTCGGCACCGCTAAGGCGCTCCAAGTCTCGAGTCATTAATAGCACGCCAGCCGCCTGTTGGAGACATTAGCCAGTTGCTTCTCTACCTGGTACTTCTAACGGAAGTGGTGTTCTTTGTTGTTGTTGTTGCTGTTGTTGTAGCAGTTCGCTAACCCCGCTTTGGAGTAGGCTAGATCTATGTAAGTCAGAGAGTTTCAGGAAACAAGCTGTTTCCACGGGTACGGACCAGAAGAGAAGGGCGGTTAGATGTGTTGGTTTTGGGGAGCATGCAAAGAGCTTGTAGATGTCGTTCGGGCACTCGTTGCATGTAGGATATGTGTATGTTCTTATGTTGGGCATGTGGGGGTCAAGGCTGTATAGATAGGAGTTTAGTCTACAACAATACTTAGATCTAAGTTAAGCCAGCATTACTCGTGACTCCAGATCTAAGTTGCGCCAGCATTACACGGAGTTCTCGAGGCAGCTCTTCAGCTGCAATGAATGTGCTGGTTTGACGCCGAGAATGCCATTCACAGGGAGCAAGAGTTTAGAAAGGTGTTGACAGGAATTCTCTGAGAATGGCGTTGAATGCCTCGCGGTAAAATGTGCCGTACAGTGATTGTTGTTAGCAAGGCTGAATTCATTCCTTAAGGTCGAGTACCAAGTTTCTGATGTTCCTGGGTGGTGGTTCTTTTTCTAATAAATGTCTGTTGGGTTGTCCTCTATGGCAGTATACCAGCAGAAGACGCTCCTTAACTGGTAGAAAAGTGGTTTCGCTGTACAAATGATGCTCTGGAGACACCTCCTGAGGGTTGTGTTTTTGCTCGTTTGTAGCTTCTTTATCTGCGTCACGCCTTGCATTGGTGCAGCATAGTTTACGACGGGCTGGCCGATTGCTTTAGAGGTTACTTGCTTGGCTTTTCCCCCCGAGTGCTGACGGAATGTGACTCCCAATAGCTTTGGGCTGTTTATAGTCGAAATTTTTGCGCGATGTTTCACATTCCATGCTTCCATCGGTGCTTATGCTGTCAAAGACTTTCACAGCTGGTGTGTTTTCATCCATTCGAAGGACATTACATTACATTTGCTGGACTATGTTATTTCCTTCTCATATCTCGTATCTTTAGTTGCGGTATTTGCAGTCGTCCGTCACAAAGGATCATAAATCTTCTGCAAAACCTTTCGCCGTCGTACCCGCTTCTACATCATCATAAGAAGATAGTGTTAGTGAGTGAGCTAATTCCATGGGTTGAACTCTCTACTACATACAAGGTTTGACTACCAACAGAAGCGAGTGCACTGAATTTTTGATGACCTCGTTCACTACTATACCCATACGCCCCACTTTCTCATCCATTCCAGTCTGGAGTATGCAGAATTACCTGCTCTGGCATTAGTTTGAGAAAGTCACACGATGAAGGGTCACAATGTCTGACACCACATTTCGTATTGCATGGTCCGGAAGGTCCTTCCTGATACTGAGGGAGCTGATAGTGTTGCTCAGCATGAGTTTACACAAGTTAAGTGAAGTTTGGAGGCGGCTTAGTATAAACTGTAGGTCCCTCCATTTGTTGGGAAAAACATCAAGACGCAAAACCACAAATTGGAGGAGGAGGAGCTCAGCCGAAAAATTATTTCAGCGATTACAAAAAGCGTCGATTGAGACGTAGCGACATAGAGTCAGCTCGTTTTTGTGCTATGTCAAAGGCTACTTTAAAATCGACGAAGAAGTGGACAATCCTACTTTCAAAGATCTTTTCCAAGATGAGGCTAGGTCTGAAGCTACACTGATAAGATCTTTTCGGCCCCTTTACAGTGGGCTTTAATCTCGCACCCAGTATACTCGGTGAGATGCAATATTGAGAAGGCTTATCCTTTGCGAATTAGCGCAGGCTGTGGAGTTTATCTGTTAGTGGATTGGTACGAGTACTCGTTGAATTCTAGTTGCCTGCCACTTATCCGTTCAAATTTCGCATGTACTTTGTCTATACTTCGCGGCCATGATTTAATAGCTCATAGCTCTGTGGACTATCACTTCTTAACTCACTTTGATATTTAATATGCCATTTGAACTCAGTTATAGTCGGACTCACAATCTCCAACAGCAGACTTTTTACTGCAATTTCATGAGCTGGAGAAGAATTTCCTACATAAACTCAGTTTGCTTTGAATATCAGTTGACGAGTTACCATCTCTTAGTTTCAACATTATCCGATCCGGTCTCGAAACCTTCTGAGAATCGTCGCTCCTTTTATTGAAACCTTGAAAGTAAACACACTGAACTCCCTGTGGATTGTGCACTTGGTTTGGGTAAGACCAAAAAAAATTTAGAGAAAATCAATTTATGAACGTACACTAACACTACCATCCAATTCCGGCCATAAAAACCTCTTTCGGTATCGCAATCCATTCACCGCGAATGTTGCTCCAGTTTCATTTTCGAAAAAGTAAGATCCCAGGACCTCGCCGGACCATAAACTGCACTAAACTGTTACACGTTGAGGACGGAGAGGCTTTTCAACAATAAAACTTGGGTTTTCCGAGCGCCTCATGCGACAATTTTGCTTATTGACGTAGCCATCGAGGTGGAAATGGGCCTCATCAGTCCAGATGATTTTTCGATGAAATTTTTTTTAGCGAAGCTTAATAATATCAATGCATTGTTGGAACGTGTATCGTTGCATTTTTGTGATTGGCTTTTACTTGTCAAATGAGAAAAAATTACAGCTTCAAAAGCGACATCTGACGGAACAGCTGACTATTCAAAATAACACTTCTTGTTGGGAAATCCTTTGTAATTTTGCGCAAATTTTCGACCGATAAACAATTTAGTGATTTATGAAACACTTAATATTAATTAATTTTCGTCAAATAATAATTTTCGTCGCTACTTTTCAGTTGCAAAACGTCAAAGCAACATTGCCATCAACCAGTCAACTGTCAACGCTTGATTGCTCTTTATTTACACCTGTGGAGTTTAATGGTCATTCAGTTGAATTAAAAAATTAAATGAAAATAAACTTTTTATTTTGTATAATTTACAATTTTATTTCTTGTTTTTTATTATTTTTTTATTTTTTTATACGCTTTTAAGTTTTCTCTTCAATGTTGAACGAGTTTTGTTTCAATTTGTAATACCTTTAAATAATTTAAAATATGCGATTTTTTAACAAAAAAATTAAGAACTATCAGAAAAATATGATTTTAATTTGCACATATTTGATTTTGTTGAATTATTTATTCTAAGTAAAATACATTTCAAATTGCCGCTATTTACAATTTTTGCATTAAATATACATACATATAATATTTATATAGTTTTAATGTTTTTTTATTTTGATTTAAACTTTTCGCTAATTCAAAATTCTTGTCGCTTAAATTTATGTCGTTACTTTTTAAATATTTTACAGACTATAGATACATATTTATAATATTTTATAAGCATGCTTGTTTGCTATAGATGCAATAACGGCATATGTAATAATATTACACACACGTCTATTTTATTGCTAACGTATTTTATACATATTTCCAACATTTTTCATGCCTTAATTTATTAAGAAACCGAAATTCTTCGTCTAATGTGCATGGACACAGGGTGTGCGGCCCAACAATTTGGCAAATATTTCCATTGCAGCCGTGTCATGCTGTTTTACATTCAGCATTGACAGTTGCTTTGTTTCCTCTGCTCATAAGATTTTCAATTTACAATGGCGCACGTGTAGTGTAAATAACACAATTTCTTTTGCTTTATACTGTTATTTGAACAGTTAATAGTATAAATTCACCGCTTGTTGCAATTCTTGTCTCATAGCCGCCGCCACGGTCGCTTCGGATGTCGTCTGTGTCTTGTTCGCTGCCATCACTGTCACATCCGTTTCGTTGGTCACCACCGCTGCCGCCGCTGCTGCTGCTGCTGCATTGACCATCCACTCTGCTGGCGTTTCCAACTAGAATCATAAATGCTGATATTCACTCATATCATAAATGGGTATTGAACCCATAACGCTGTGCAGGTGCGGATATGCGACTGAGAGTGGCGCCATTTGACCAGCTGCCGCTGCGGCCGCAGCTGCTGCAGCAGCATTATTGCTATTTTTACTACTCGACGATGCAGCGGCGGCAGCAGCAGCCGCTGCTGCAACGGCCGCAGTTGTCAGACCGCCACCACCACTCGAACCACCACTACCGCCCGAGTTGGGTGACAGTCCAACCAGCTGGGTGGCATTCAAACTGTGCGGGTGTTGATGATGTGCTTGTTCCATACTCGTTGCTGAGCTCGCGTGGTGTGATGTGTGCGGCAGTTGTGCGGCGACTGCAGCAGCTGCTGCAGCAGCAGCGGCCGCATGATGGTGATGGTGATGATGATGATGGTGATTGTTGTGCGTCGGTGTTGGCGATAATTGTTGCGCATGCTGTGATTGTGTATGCGTGGCGGGGTGCTGTTGTTGGTGATGTGGGGATTGATGTTGGTGTACTTGTTGTTGCTGCTGCTGTTGCTGCTGATGGTGATGATTGTTATTGGCAACATTATGGGTTTGCTGCAAAAGTGAGCTTTCCATCTCCGAATCACTTGAGGAATCCAAGTGTTGCTTGTCCGAGGCGCCGCTGTAATGAGAAGAGTGAAAGGATATTGGTTAGTATATAGTGGATGTAGGGAGGAGAAAAGTGAGAAGTGAAAAATTGTATTTAAAATAAAAGAGCTAAGAGAAGTATTTTTTAAATATGAGATAGATCGGCCCCGAAAAAAATCCTCCATGCATTGAAATAGGCAAATAGCCATCTATGTTCCCAGGCCCACCTCCGGATAGAAACCGTGTAGCCGCCATTGATTGAGACAAAAATCTACCTCCGTAGCTAGCTTGTAGCTAAGAAGAGAGCATTTCTAACTGCTGCGAGGTTATATGATTCCCGATAGCTGAAAGTCAGGTCTTATGGGCACAGTAATATTGAAATTTCCCCAGAGTGTACGAATAGACTTTTGTTTTCACCTACAATAAAGGTAAACGGCTGGAGAAAACATCTAAAATATACAGACAAAGCTTTTCATGTTCCTATAGATGGTTCCAAAATGAACGTAGGACTAGGGGCTTCAGTTTGCTACGCCCAACTAGAGTTAAGGAAGTCGTATTTGCTATTAAAATGTCGGTAGAGCTACTCCAATGTGTTGGCTTTCAAAGGAAGAGAATAGACATCTATGCGTGTGAATACCCAAGCGGCCATAGAGGCTTTAATTTCATACAGCACAAAATCAGCTGCGACCACAGTGGCGATTCAAGTAGTGTCTGAAAAGAGAAGAGTGTACATTTACTCGGTGCAAGGTTGCACGGACATTGAAGATAACGAGATAGCTGACGAACTGGCTAAGGGGGGCGTCGATTTAGAAGAAGACACAGTAACGAGCCTTCCAGTTCTAATCAAGGAAGTGAAGCAAAAGCAAGCAGTAATACTACTTCGACGGCCAAAAGACTCTGGGAACGAGCTAAGGGCTACAGAATCGTGAAAACTATGTGTCAAATGTATGACACTAAAATCACAAAGTTCGTATTATTTGAAAACAGGCCGGGTTCCAGGCTGCCGATGGGACTATTAACAGGACATTGCCTTTAGGTTTAATTTTGGACAACCAAGTGAAAGCAATGTAGGGAATGTGATGGGCAAGTGGTGCACGTATACTGTGAGTATCCAGCATTCCGCGGACAAAGGCCAAGTAAGCATAGTACATGCAATCCGCAATGGCGAAGGGGCCAGAGCGAAGAAAATAGTACACTAGAGACACAATAGCAATGTAACAGTGCGGCTTGGTCGCATTTAGTGTGCATTAGTAACTCCATTGATGTATTATCTATGTGAGACCCCCTGATTGAGACGCTCATCCTAACCTAACCTACCTCTGCATCAAGTTTTATGTAATTCTAATGATAAATAAAAAATTCTCGAATAGGTTGAGCCCATGCTCACCACCAGGAAGAAAAAAGTGTTCGCCACGTCGATTTCGGCAAAGAGCTACTGCTAGCTGTGTACCAAATTTCAGGAAAAGCGGCCGTGCACGAGCCGTGGTTTAGTTTGTGGATTGATCCGTCAGTCATTCAGGGTAAAGTCTTTCATATACGACGCTGACTTTTTCGCGACCTAAGATAGTTGGAGCTGACACATCATCTCGTTACTGATAATATTAATTGCGAGTCTCACACACTAACACAACATTTTTTTTTATTAGGTTCATTAACATTTCATTCCTGGAACAAGCAACAACACTTAGTCAACTGAAACTGAAAATTCTTGAAACTTGGAGCAACCGCGCAGTGAATAAATTCTTTTGCAAAGGAAGGAAGTACGCCGAAATGAATTTTGTAAGAAGTGTCCACGATTCTTCAAGACTCTACCCTTTCACATACGATGGTGAAAAAATATGCTCGGCTGCTTCAACAAGGAAGACGAGACCTGTGAAGATGACACCCGCCCGGTCGTGACCGAGGAAATTGTTCAGAAAGTCGAAAAACTAGTACCGGCTGAACGAAGAATTAAATTGCCGGAGTTAGCAGAAGGATTATAGATTAGCAAAGAACGAGCTGGGGAGATTTTGCAAGAAAATTTGAATATGAAAAAAATTAGCGCGCGTTGGGTACCGCGAATACTCACGCCGCTTGACAAACAGCGACGATTGGAGAGTTGTAAAGAGTTTTTGGAGTTGCGCCAAAATGATTTGGATGAAATTTGCCACCGCATTGTAACAGTTGATGAAACATAGATTCGTCGGTCTGATGCCGAGGCCAGACTGTAGTTTAAAAAAGGAGTTTCGAGACAAAGATTTTCAGATGACAGTGAGATGAAAGCGTACATAGAAATAGTTTTGAAATCTAAAGTATATTTTTTCAGTGGCATAAAGGATTGTACACGGTACCCAAAAATAACCGAACTTTTCGGATATAAAATAAAATACACATTATATTATCTTTGAAAGCTATAATTTATTCAAAATAGGTTCCACTTGACTCAACACAACGTTTGGAACGATCAACCCACGCATGCATGGATTTTTTTATGTCATTTATAGAAATGTTCTTCAGTACCTCGGTTACGGCTGCTTGAATGGCTGGGATATCATCATAAAATGCTCCCTTCATCTTGGTTTTCAGTTTTGGAAATAAAAAATTGTTACATGCTGATAGATCAGGCGAATACGGAGGATGGTCGATGAGAGAAATCCCTTTTTTCATTAAAAAATTCAAGCGATTTTTTGGTCGTCATTTAATTCATGTGTGGCACAGACCTTTCTTTTCCCCAAATCTTCAGTTAAAATTTTCCATTCTCAGCCAACATTCTCGTAGTAAAATTTGCATCGATACCAATGATTTCACGGACTTTTTCTACCAGTTCAGCACGATTACTAGTTTCTGGACGTCTTGCTCTAGGGTCGTCATTTAAATCCTCACGATCAATTTTAAATCGTGAAACCACGTATAAACTTGCGTACGACTCATACAATCATTACAATAAATTTTTTTCAGTAATTTTTTTTTAAGTTTGACACAAAATTTTATATTTGCTCTTTGTTCCATTTTTTTTTTTTTTGAACTATTAGCACACTTTTGGTTTCATTGAAATGACTGTCACTTTTACATCTGTCATGAATGTATCTTTTTAATGTTGCAAATTTTCAACAGATGGCGCTGTATGTTGTATGATTTAAATATAAAGTTCGGTTATTTTTAGGACACACCGTGTATACACGATGTGAAGAGTGTATTTCACTTGAGGGAGGCTACATCAACATTGAGAATTTCACAACGCGAACTTATCAGCCGCTCCTCGTATATGTATTCCGAATATGTAGATAATAATTTAGATAATCTCCTTGAGCGGCGAAAGGACTCTACACCATTTTTCTACAGAAAAAAAGTCGCTTGAAATGATCTTATCGAACGCACATAAAACTCTAATCGATAAACGATAAACGGACCCCTTTCGATTTTCACTAATGGAAACCACACATTCCAGAAATAATTTCGTCGCTGTTAATACCAATCAAATTGTTGCCATGTCAAAAAGGAAAATTACCGATGGCAACACTCTGATAAAATCCATAGAAATCATATCAAACATCAACATCCTTGCAACAACATATAAACGACTTAACAACAGCGATGTATATATTATATATATGTATGTACGTGTATGTAGTTCCCCTACACGTTTACAGCACACCTCCGACCGTCCATTTCATTCATCAAGATATTAGTTAACAACCCATTTATTGCGCCTCGGTCGTCAGAAAAACGTGCTATGTGTAGATATATATATATACATACATACATGCATACATACATATCTACACATTTATATGCAAACAACTGTGTATATCGTTTGTATTTACGCTTTGTGCTCATCACTCGCTCGCTCGCTGGCTGCTTTTGTTGCTATTTATGTACTTAATGCTGCCGTTGCTGCCGCTGCTGCTGCTGCTGCTGCTCTTTTCAAGATATCAAATTTCATGCTACACAAAAAAAAAAAACGGAGGAAAATATAATAAAAAATACAAAAACAACAAAAAAAACAGCAAAAGTAGTGGCTGCAGCCACTAAACAAAAAGCAGCAATGACAGTCTCAGAGCTTCGCTTCAGCACGGCTACGCTTGAGACGACGAGACCATAGCGCGGAACCGCTGTGTTGAGTGATGGGACATAACGAGCAAGCGACAAGCAGGCATACATACACACGGTATGTAAATAGGTACGTTTAATGCTGTTGGTTGTTGTTGTTGTGCTTGCTTTTAGCACTACTTGGCACTGAGTATATACTGAGACAGACAGACAAACAGACAGTTGAAGATGATGATGTCGACGACGATGACGACGCGTCGATAACGTTGAGCCGCAGATATTGGGGATGAGACGAAACTTCGATTATTTGAATATATTTAAAGCTGCAAGTAATTTGCAACCGAGTTTCTCCGTCAACTTTTGGGTATGTTTCTGGCTGTTTTTCCAACAAACGGCGAGATTTACGATTTGGAGCATTCTTCCGCTTGGCGGATGGATTTTTGTGAGGAACTTTTTCTTCGATTGCAGTTTGGAAAATTTGAAACAACCGCTGGCCTTTAGAGTCTGTTGACTACGCCAAGTCAATTCGCAGAGACTGTCCCTCGGTGCGCGCCTGCTTGTTTGGCTTTATCCGATAGCAAATATGCACCGTTTTGATCGGCAACTTTTCTTTTTCTTCTTCTTCTTAGACATTATAGCCGAGTTTATAACATTGCGGGATTAATTTCTTTTTTTTTCGCTGTTTGACTAGATTCAGCTAGATCCTTTGCAACCTAGTCTTTCCATCGGAGTGGAGGTCTTTCTCTTTCTGTGCTTGGACCGGCGGGTACTGCATTGGCAACTTTCAAAGCTTGAGTATTCTCATCCATCCGGACCATATGACTTAGCCAGCTCAGGCGCTGTTTCTTGATTTGCTGAACAATGTCAATGGCGCCGTATATCTCTGCGGTATTTGCCAACAGCCAACTCCTAGATTACTATAAATATAACAGAAAACCTTTCGCTGGAAAACTCCTAACGCCGACTCATGAGATGTGGTCATCGTCAATGTTTCCATATCATTTA